CCCCCTCCTCCCGGGCCCCCAGTGCCGGGCTGGGCAGCGCTGGCTTTGGGAGGGGGCGCGCTCATCCCCCGCAGGTTGCAGGGACCCCAAAAAGCTCTTAAATCACTTTTCCCTGAGCCACCTGCCCAACGCCAACATCCCCATGCTGTGTGCAGGTCGGTGGTCGGCGTGTTCCTCTGCGGGCCGGGGTCCTTGGCAAAGAGCCTGCAGAAGTCTTGCCACCAGCACTCCAGTCTGGACCCCAGGAAGGTCAAATTCTACTTCAACAAGGAGAACTTTTAAGTGGCAGCCAGGCTGGGACCCCAGTGGACAGGGGACTCTGTGACTCTGCCGGTCTCGCCTCAACCCCAGAGCGAGTTGGCGTGGCCAGGGATAAGCACCCGCTGAAGAATGCGTGCACGGAATCCAGGCGAGACCAGGCAAGGTGCTCCTTCTCCATGAGAAACTCTAGGTTCAAAGACTGCTGCCTTCTCAGCCTGGGCTACGAGGGGTCCCCATGGGGGGCGTGGGCCCGCAGCTCCGCACAGCCCCCCCGTCGAGAAACCAGAGGCACACGCTGCGATGCTGCTGCTGGAGCAGTGGGGAGCAGGGGGAGCGCCCAGCGGGCTGGGCAGAACCACAGGATGGGGACAGGGATGGGAGAGGGGCATGCCGAGCCCCTCCGCGTTTAACCAGGCCTTTGCGTAAAAGGGTAAATTAAACGTGCCTTCCTTTGCAATAAAAGCCTCTGTGGTGACTCGGTCTGCGCAGGTGCGAAGGGAGCCCACTCTTTGCCCCCTTGCAGGGCTGCAATGAAGCAGCTGGTTCATAGCAAACCCTCTGGGGTGCAGGGTAAGGTGCTCCCTCCGTGGGGCTCGCTGCCACCACCCGGAGCCAGCCTGCATCGCCCGCCAGGCACACACCAGCGCGTGCAGCGCATGCGAAGGCAACAAATTCTGCTCAAGCGTATGCAGAGAAGAGGGGGAAAACCACCCTCCCCGAGCAGGCTGGCGTGGTAACCGATACAGCAATCAGATATGCAGCCCTTCCTGCCTGGTCGGCAGGGACAGAAAGCTGAGCTCCCCGTCCTGCCCTTCCCTTACACCCCTGTGAACAGCACGGCACGTAAAATCCCACGAGCAGATCTTGCCCCGGTGCTGGGGAGAAGGGAGGAAGGCGAGTGGTTTGGACTAGCCTGGAGCCAGGCCAGACCGTTCCCAGAACCCAACAGTCCCACTCCAGCCTCCATGAGACCAAACAAGGCAGCCGGAGACATGGCTTTACTCAAACCCTCCTCCCACTTTATTTCAAACATCATAAAATATACACACAGAAAAAAGGATGAATAGGAGGGGAAAAGGTTAGTGGGGGAGGAGAAACCTCTCCCAAAATGCATCATCAGCTCAGACAGCAATGGGAAGCAGCTGCCACGGAGCATCGCCCCTGTCCCGGCGGACGGCATCTCCGCCACGCGCCTGCCGGGCCTGCGAGAAGGAAGGGGAGCAGAGTGAGCCCCAGCACGGGGAGGAAAAGCTGGGTGGAGCCCCATCCCGAGCAGCTCTCCGATTTACTGAATGGGAGCAGGCGCAGGCCGAGGCTGGGTTAAGGCCATCACCTGTCAGGGTGCCCCCGTGGATTTCTGGATTTGCTCCTTCAGAATAAGGATGCTCTGCCGCTGCTCCGGGGGCAGCATGGCGATCTGGTCCGCCGTCAGCTGCAGAACCTGCATGATCAGGGCTGCCTGTGGGGAGAGCGGGGAATCAGAGACGTGCCCTGCCAAAGCAGCCACGGGTTGCCGGAGCCAGGAAGGGGCTGTCCCCGCCGCAGTAAGGCACGGAGGAAGTGCCGCTCTGGGTGTCTCAACCCTTCCCTTTTGTCCTCTCACCTTCTCGTGATCCTGGGGGGTGACCTGGCTCTGTCCAGGGCTAAAGCCTCCGGGCTGACCAGCTCTTTGGACCCCTGCCCCCGGAATGCCTCCTCCCTGCATGCCTGCCCCTGCCATATTAGGAACCTGCGGGCACAAGAGAGCGGGTAAGGACCAAGGGGTCTCTGGACTCAGCCATACAAATACAGGAATGTAAAGCAGATGATCAGATGGATGCCCCCCACAGCCAGCCTGAAGATGCCTGAGCATGAAGAGAGGCTACCGTGCCTTTTACATGTACCTGGCGGGGCC